GGAGACCACCTGAACCTGACCTCAAAATGCCTTCAAAAGCTTAGGAAAAGGATCGCAGGGCTATAAGACGCTAACCAGGATCATTTCCAGAAGAAAAAGAAGGACCTTCACCAGGCTAAGGAAAAGCAGAAATTCTGGAAGAGTTAGGAGCAGCAGGCAAATCATTTAAGCTTCCTGTCCAGGGTAAAGTCCTACTGGGAAACCGCTCAACATGCCTTGGCGAAGACCACAATATTTTGATGCTGGAATTCGAATATTATCACAGATTTATAACCCACTCCGCACTTCAGACACAAGTGTGGCGATAATATTTCCTCTTTTTCTGTTCAAAAAACAAAATCCGAGCAGATTTTGCAGGGAAAGAGGGCCCCACCACATCAAGGTGTTTTCCAAATCTCTTCGTAGCAGCCAATGGAGGAAAGAACCCTGGAGCTCTCCAACAATATCCAGAACAGAGAGGCTGCTTCCTTTGCAAATTATTATTTTTTTTAAAAAAAAAAGAAAGCATAATTGCTTCCCAGCAGGCCTTCAAATGTTAATGTTTACATATGGAAGAAGGCAGCTTCGTTGCTAGCTCACCAAGGCTCAGGAATAAGCTTTGGAACGCACCTGGGAAAGCCACGGCAAATGAATTTGACAACCCCACATTTGGGGTTTGGAAGAGACCACCCAGGTTCGTACGGTGAGGCATCAGAACCATTTAGAGTCTCGAAAGGAACACAAATATCATTCAGCAATGAAGAGAATAACAGGTGAAATTGCAGATTAACATCCAAAGGAGATATAAACCATAGACATTGGCATGGGGTCCTGTCCCACAGACATCTCCGCAGAGAAGAAACCCAAACACGATGAAAGCAAAACCAGTTTAGCACACACCGAAGTTAGGGCGAGAGCAAGAGATCTGACTTCGGATTGCCCCGAAGGAGGTGAGTATATTCAGAGACCTCCCATTCCCCGGATCTGGTTTCAAACCCAAGATCCGGTTTGTGGATGTTGGGGCCATGGGTGGGATTCTGCTGGTTCAGACCGGTTCAGGCGAACCCCTAGTTCCGAAGATTAGCTGGGAGCGAACCGGTTCTCTCCCCTGCGCTGTACTGACCATCATCATCCCAGCTGATCCGCACGGAAGAGCCTATTGCCGCTCCTCAGCTGTGTTACTCCCTCGAAGTAACAAAGCAGGGAAGGATTTTCGTGTTGCTGTTTACGCATGCACGGTGTGCATTAGGCGCAAAGGGCACATGATAACCGAACCGGATGTTATACTGGCAGCATCCTACCCCCGGTGTGAAGCTGGCAGAGTTAGAAAAAGGCTTGCTGGAATAACGGGAGAAAAATGTCAGACGGTTGGAGCTTGTGGGAGTTGGGTGTTAAAAGGAAAGAAGAAATGCAGCTTTAAACAACTGCCCCCCCTTTTTTTATCTATCCTAGACTATATTGTTCTCTTCCAGGTGGATGGGAACGCAGGTATTTTATCCTCCAAAGGAGAAATCGATGCAAGTGGGATTCTGATTGTCAGTATGAAGCTTTCTTGTCTGTACATCAACTAGACAGGAGGTGTATGAACGTTGGAAGGAAAGAAAGGAAAGGAAGGGAGGGAGGGATGAAAAAAACGAAGGAGGGAAGATGAGAGAGGAGGGAGGGAGGGAGGGATAAAGGAAGGAAGGAGGAAGAAAGGAAGGAAGGACTCAGAAGAAGAGAGGGAGGACTTGGAGGGAGGCACCGATGGAGGGAGGGAGGAAGGAAGCAAGGAAGGGGAAGGAAGGAGAGAGGGACAAAGGAAAGAAGGAAAGGGAGGGATGAAGGAAGGGATGAAAGAAGGAAGGAAGGACTCAGAAGAAGGGAGGGAGGGAGAACTTGGAAGGAAGAGGGAGGGAGGGACAAAGAAAGAAAGAAAGGGAGGGATGAATGAATGAATGAAAGGAAGTAGGGAGGAAAAGAGGGAGGGAGTAAGGAAGGAAGATGAGAGGAGGGAGGGAGGGATGAAGGAAGGAAGGAAGAAGAAAGGAAGGAAGGACTCAGAAGAAGAAAGGGAGGGAGGATGGAGGAATGCAGCAAGGGGAAAGAAGGAAGGACAGACAAAGGAAAGAAGGAAAGGGAGGGAGAAAGGAAAGAAGGAAGGAAAGGAAGGACTCAGAAAAAGGGAGGGAGAGAAGGAGGACTTGGAGGGAAGGAAAGAAAGAAAGAAAGGGAGGGATGGATGAATGGAAGGAAGGAAGGAAATTATAAGTCACCCTAATCATAAACATGAAAGAAGAAAAAGAAGTTTTATGGGGAGATGGAAAGAAGCATTTTAGCACCTTCCTAATCCATGGCCCACCCAACCGGTTTCTGCAGCAGATGCAGAATTTCAAAATCTGGCCTGATCCGTCCCTCCGTGCTTCCAACCACACCACATTTCCTGCTCAGGGCTGATGTAAAGATCCACTGAAAAGCAAAGAAAGCAATCTCTCTCTTTTTTTTTTTTTTTGGGGAGGGGGGGAGGGGGTGTCCTGTGAAAAGAATTAAAACCCAAACGACAAAGATCCCTCCCTCCTTCCTCAGAGGGGAGGTCTCTCTTCTTGAGCTGCTCATTTCAGTCCAACCTTGGAACTGTGCCGACGACCGGGACTGAGGTCACCCCGAGAGGTCAACAGAGGTGGAAATAATCTATGGACCTTCTCCCTTGTGGGGTTAAATGGCCCGGCCTGTTTGTATTCAGGGGGAGCCACATGGGTTCTGCCAACAAGGCCAAAGGGTCAATCTTCTCCTCCCCCTTCCCCCCTTCCTTCTTCCTCAGGAGCCTCTTCATCGGGGACTTCTGAAGTTGGTGGCTAATGAGCGGTAAAGAACCAGAAAGAGACTTACCTCTGTTCGGCCGGGCTGTAGGTCTGCCCACTCTGACAGCTGCTGATGGCGATGGGGTCAAAATTCTGGAAGGAGCGCAAGGCCACCCCGGAGATAGCCACATACTGAGATCTGAAGGTGATGAGAATGGCCCCAGTCCGGTAGAAGTGCTGGCTGAGGTCATGGACAACGGGGATAATCAAAGGGTTTTTTCGGCAGCTCAAACCGTGCTCCCCTGGGGAGGGGGAGGTTAGAGAGGGAAAAAAAGAGAGGGTCCGGGGTTGGTGGGAAAGAGAAAAAAAGATTGAGGAGGGTCTCTTAATTGGGAAGAAGAAGCTAAATGGAAAGAAGGAGTACAACAATGCTTGAGTAGGGGCCTGGACTATCTCTCAACACTTTCTCTCTCTCTCTCTCTCTCTCTATCTAACTATCTATTTATCTATCTCTATCTATCTATCTATCTATCTATCTATCTATCTATCTATCTATATATCAATCTGATCTATCTATCACCTATCTATCATCTATCTATTTGTCTATCTATCTACCTACCTACCTACCTATCTATCATCTATATGTGTGTCTGTCATCTATCAATCCATCCTTTCCATCCATCCATCCATCCATGTATTATACATCTATATGTCTGTCTATCTATCAATCAATCTATCAATCAATCTATTTGTCTACCTATCATCTATCTATCTGCCTGTCTGTCTGTCTATCTGTCATCTATCTACCTACCTATTTATCCATCCATCCATCCATCCATCCATCCATCCATCCATCCATCCATCCATCTATCTATCTATCTATCTATCTATCTATCTATCTATCTATCTATCTATCTATCTATCTATCTATCTATCTACTGTATCTACTCTGTTATTCTGTTATCCTTAGAAATCCTTTGGATCTTTATTGAATAGGATTCTAAGGGAACATTGCAAGAGATCCAAGCCACATGCTTCACATTGTATGAAATGCCACCCAGCAGGAATCCAGGATTGTTGGCTTAGCTTTGTGCTAATCGGCCCCCAGGTTAAAACCAACAATAAATACATATAGAAAAAAAATCAATAAAAAGTGTTTCCCAATCCCAATGAACTGGTGGAACTCCATGACAGAACCTGTTACCGATTTTTGCGTGTCTATTTTTTAAAAAAAAAATCTTCCTGTTTACTGGCTTATCCCAAGGCGAAGTAAAAAAAACAACACCACCATTTTATTTCATGTTGCATTATAACCGAGCTAGCATTCTCACCGAGATCGTGACTTTGGTTTTTAGTGTCCACCAGCTGCACAAAAATTGTCTCTTGTTTCTGCTCGAGGTCCATCTCCTGCCATGTCCCATCTGTTACCAAGTGGATAATCACTGCAGCCGCTACCATGGGTTGGTTATAGAAAGCCTATGGAGAGAGAGAAGAGAGAGTGAAGAAGTGTGGATCAGTTCTCACTTAAACATAACCATTAATGGTCCAAGTTGGAAGCTTCACCAAAGGTTGTCTGTTTGAAGACTTGAATTTCAATCCCTTAAAGGAAAGACCTTTAACCAATAGGGAGATGCTACCACTCTTGGTGAACCTCCAGAACTAAGATTGTTAGCAACCTTACTCTCACACCCATCCATAAGGCCTGCTGAGAACTATCTGGAGACTCACAAGTTTCCCTCTCAATCTTCAACCATAATCTGATATGTTAAGTTTCTTAGAAAGTTCTACCAGAACTTCATGCTCATGCAGAGAGGACTTCAAAATAATCAATAAGATGTCTACATCTGGGGCTCCTGTCCATTGAGATGCTCTATTGGAACTCAGTGGGTTTCCTGACAAACCTTACTTTGATTACAACTTTTTTTTAAAGAAAGCAATGATTTCAATATGTATATATTTAATAAAAAACATAGAATGGGATTCCCACCAATTGCACAGCCTCCAACACCATGAATATTTCCAAGGAGGCCTCTGGACCGCATGGAAGACTGAAAATTGTCCTTGGAGAGACACAAATGAGAAGAGAGTATCTGTAGCCCAAGATTTTGTTAAGGTTGTGCCTGTGTAGTTGGGGAAACTAAAGACCATGGTGAGGAAGCTGTATGGTATCATCTCTTTGGCCCTCTGCATCTATCCATGTCTACCAAGAATGTCCATGGTGGTTCACCATCAGCAGACTTTCAAAATTCCATCTTAAAAAGAAATCCCACCGAATTACATCTAAAAGCTACATGACAAACTGGAATTTGTCCTGGAAAAGTGACAAAACTCTAATGAACCGAGTTCCTTCTGCTGCTTCTTGACCCTCACTATTTTATCTAATCGCATTGCATATTTACCTTCAGCCAGAAAACGGTGTGAGTGTGATTGGCGGTGCAAGGGTACCACGCATATTGGGCCATAGCATCGTTGAAGTCATACTCCTTGGTCCGGCACATCTGATAAAAAGAAGAACACGACGTCCAGTTGGAAGGGGGGAAGTCTACGTAAAGTCCGTGCAACCTGCGGATGCAACTTGATCTGTTGACCTATACAGCCTCGGACAACTCATCATGGCCAACTTGCTGCAGGACAATTAATCATTTCACTTAGGTACAGTTGAAGAGCCCTGGTGGCGCAGTGGTTAGAATGCAGTATGGCAGGCCAAACTCACTGCTCACTGCTAGCAGTTCGATTCTGATGGATCAAGGATGACTCAGCCTTCCATCCTTCTAATGTCGGTAAAATGAGGGCACAGATTATTGGGGGCAAGAGGCTGACTCTGTAAACTGCTTAGAGAGGGCTGTAAAAGCACTGTGAAGCAGTATATAAGTCTAAGTGCTACTGCTATTGCCACTTTTATTATGGGTGGCCATGTTTTCATTGAAATGATTGTAAATCTTGTAAATTTCTGGATTGACATCGTTCTATTACTATTACTCTATTACTACATGGTTGCATTGAAATTAAATTAACTTTTGCATCTGTTCAATTGTCCCATGGAGAATCGACCGTGGTGAGTTGTCCCATTTCATATACAGATACCCCATTCCGCATGCTAATTTCCAAACTACAGGTTAACCAAATGCCACGATTGGGCTCACATCACATATGCTGCCCCAACAAGTAAGCCACAGGGTAGCTTCAGGGTGACTGTTTGAGACAAGCAGAGATGCCAGCTGGGTTCTCACATTGCCCTGATTCACAAACCACCAACCCTATTTTAATCGATCGTTATACAAACCAAAGAGTTTATATAAGATATTGGGGCTGTGGTGGCACAGGGGTTAGAGGGCGGTACTGTAGGCTACTTCTGCTGCCTGCCGGCTGTCTGCAATTTGGCAGTTCGAATCCCACCAGGCTCCAGGTTGACTCAGCCTCCCATCCTTCCGAGGTGGGTAAAATGAGGACCCCAATTGTTGGGGGCAAGAGGCTGACTCTGTAAACTGCTTAGAGGGGGCTATAAAGCGCTGTAAAGAGGTATATAAGTCTAAGGGCTATTGCTATCGTTCATTAGCCCTAATGACGGGATTGTCTTGCAACTGGATATGAAGGACAGAAAATTTTTGAAGAGAATGTTGTGGACTTCCATGGTGGTGAACACGGAAAAGAAATGCCACAGAACTTCAAGTAAGAACCTTTTCCTTACATCCACACTGATTTAAAAAAAAGAAAAGAAAAATCAAGTATTCGGAGCTAGATTGGCCAAAAGTGAAGTCATGATTTCTCTAATTTAAATTCCTTTCCCCCCCCCCCCTAAACAAAAACCCCGAGAGGGAAGGAATCTGTGGGCAAAACATAAATCAGGTTTAATGGGTTGGAAAAAAAAAAAGTTTTTTTTTTTCAGTTTTGTTAAATAAAATAAAATAAAATAGAAGGGGATGGGAAGGGCGGGAAAGAAAGAAAGAAAACCTAAAAACTGGGACCAAATTTTGCCGAGGCTTGCCAATGGATTGTGTTACATTTTACAGCAGTGTAAGAATTTACATAAACTATCTTTGGCGTTTGAAATTCATTCCAGCAATTTGACATGTATCATTTTCAACAGTCTGTCTCAGTGGGATGGGATGGGGAGGGGGGGTGAGGGAGGGAGGGAAGACTGGTTTTGATTTTAATACCTCTCCCAGTTAGAGGGACCAATCCTTGCTCACATCTGCAATTTATACAGCCACGGGGGCTCCCCAAGACCGATGGCGCGCGCCCCTGGTTTTTTTTTTTGCAACTCTTGCACTCTGCCCCTCCTCTCCGTTTCCTCCGACCCCCCACCCCCAAGATAGACTGAGAGGGAAACTGAACTGGGAGGAATGGAGTTTGGCACCCGTCACCTGTCGCTGAATGGATGAGTGAGAACTTGCTTTCAAAAGCTGACCCCCCAGCCTCTGCTTAAAAAAAAACTTGAGCAGAGCCCAAAACAAACCTTTAAAAGATTGAGGCTTCCATTTTATATTATTTTATTTTCCCTCTCTCTCTCTTCCTCCCTCCCTCCCTCCCTCTCTCTCTCTCTCTCTCTCTCTCTCCCTCGTTTTTTGTTTTTTGAGCTCAGCACTTTTTCCCCTTGAAAGAGGTTTGCGAACAGAAGCAGAACCGCTTGGCTGATTTGGGTTCTGTTGTGCGGTTTAGGGAAGGGGATGGAAGGCCAGCTCTCTTCGGAATTGTTCCTCCATTCTGCACGGCATTGAAGAAATGAGTGGGCTTATCCTAGGTTCGAATGCCAGAGGTAGTTTGATGCCCAAAGTCTTTGCGGGAAGCCTTCAAACGAGGCCAAGTTGTCCTATAAAACTCTTAGGATTCTTTGCGTGTTTCCCCCCCGCCCCCCGAAACCTCTTTCCAAATATCGGAATATTTTGGACAGGCAAACCATAGTTGGCAGGCACCAGGTGAGAATGCATGTCGTAGCCCTTTTCTTGCCTGGATTTCATTCAGAGATATAATATTCAGTGAATATTCTTAGTGTTCAAATATTAAATGCAGAAAGGAACTGAAATGGTCTGTCTGTTTGACTATCCATTCATCCGTCCAATCCTCCACCCCTCTGTCTCTGCATCCTTCTGTTTCTCCATCCATCCCTCTATCCCTCCCTTCCTCCATCCCTCTCTCCATCCATCTGTACCTCCTTCTATCCTTCCTTCCATCTATCCCTCTCTCTATCCATCCCTCTCTCTCTACCCATCCATCTATCCCTTTCTCCATCCATCTGTATCTCCCTCCCTCCTTCCATCCCTTCCTCTCTTTCTCTCCATTCCTCTCTTCATCCCTCTCTCTCCATCCCTCTCTCCCAGCTCTTTCTCCATCCCTCTCTCTCCATCCATTTATCCATATCCCTCTCCATCCATATCTCTCCATCTCTCCATCCATCCCTCTCTCCATCCGTCCGTCCATCCATCCATCCATCCCTCTCTTCTTCTAAGTGGTTCTCAATCTTTTCTTCACCACGGGCCCCCTTTAAATACCTTTTGTGGCCACGGATCAGGGCCACAGAGATAAGGGAAAAAAAACAAAACAGATGGAAATGAATCAAGGAGAGAAGCAACCTGGAACGAAGGAGGAATTTCCTGACAACGAGGACAATAAACGAGTGGAAAGGACTTGTCTTCCGAAGTGGTAGGTGCTCCATCACTGGAGGTTTTTAAGAAGCGATTAGACCGCCCTTTGTCCAGAATGGCGGTCTCTAGGTTAGGAAGTTAATCTAGAAGATTTCTAAGGTACCTTCCAACTCTTCTGTTATTCTGTTTTTCTTTCTGCTTGCAGAGGAACGGAAAGACTCCGCGTTTTTCTTCCTGGCATCCCCTTCTCTGGAAAGCTGTTTTCAATTAGAGCTATCCTGAGCGCCTCTGCCTTTGAGTGGATTCTAAATCCAGTTTTGTCCCTTCCACCCACCCACCCACACACACACACGGTACAGGAAAGCAAAAGATGGAGCAAAGGAGGATCAAGAGTTAGGTCTTTCCCCTGGGATGCGGTGAGATTTCCCTGTGACTCATGGAGAGTCCGCTTTTGGCCAAGAAGAAGGCAACATGTTTCACCTCACCACGGATCCCAGAAGGCTGCCAGACTCTGGAGTTTTCTCATGAAGTCCTAAGCCCCAGAAATGTCTGTAGGAGGCCAGGGGAAAAATAATCTAGCAGTCATGCAGAGAGACAAAAAAAAAAATATTCATGTCAAACCCTGATCCCTGCCTCTTCAAACCTCGGTACAGCCGTCGGCGAAACCAGCTGTGCTTTGGGTCTGTTATACTGCTTTTCTGCAATAGCAAGAGCACTTAGACTTATACACCGCTTCACAGTGCTTCCACAGCCCTCTCTAAGCGGTTTACAGAGTAAGCCTCTTGCCCCCAATAATCGGGGTCCTCATTTTACCCACCTCAGAAGGATGGAAGGCTGAGTCAACCTTGATCTGGTCAGGATCGAACTGCTGACAGTGGGCAGAATTAGCCTGCAATTCTGCATTCTAACCACTGCGCCACCACGGCAGATAGATGATAGATAGATAGATAGATAGATAGATAGATAGATAGATAGATAGAT